GTATATGGGTATGCTGATGTCATATCACACCCATACAGTATATGGGTATGCTGATGTCTTATCACACCCATACAGTATATGGGCATGCTGATGTCACATCACACCCATACAGTATATGGGCATGCTGATGTCATATCACACCCATACAGTATATGGGTATGCTGATGTCATATCACACCCATACAGTATATGGGCATGCTGATGTCATATCACACCCATACAGTATATGGGCATGCTGATGTCATATCACACCCATACAGTATATGGGCATGCTGATGGCAAATGCACAGAAATCATTAATATTACACAATGCATATGAAGTACAGGTCTCCCTCCACTTAAAGAACACCTCCAAAAAAGGACCACTTTTCTGTGGTCCCACATCAACAAATGTCATTTATTTTTGTTATTCTAATTTGAGACCAAAGCTGCTAAAGACCATGGAAACCCCAGTGCTTAAAGTGGTCTTTAATTGGAGGGACACCTGTATATACCTCTTCTATCAAAAGTTTTCCATAGCTCTTGACTTCAACGACGATAGCATTATAGCCATAAATCTGTTGCCTGAATAATAAAAAATAAAATTACATTACAGTACTGTGCACACGTTTTGACGCTGGGTATATTAGAGACCATTCCCACCATTTCTGAGCACTCCAGATGGATACCTGTACTTTTCTATGAATTTATCATGTGTCAATTTAGTGAAGTCATGCGGACTTGGAAACTACTAACTTACTACAGGACCACAACCATCTTGTTTTGATGAATAGGAGCAAACTGGGATTCATATAGTTACCATTAGTTACCATTAGTTACCATTCCATCCAATAACTAAACAAGGTGCTGGGGGCCCAGGGATGCGCAAAGGTTTTGACGCTGAATGGTATATTAGAGACCATTCCCACCATTTCTAAGCACTCTACCTATACCTATATGGATGCAGATAATTATTATTTTTTGTTCAGTTATAATTATCTGTTTTCTCTTTTAAAAAGCATGCCATATTCCAGAGGTGCTTCGGTCTGTGACCAATTAAAAGATGTTAATTCGATGATGATGAAAAAATGCAATGGTGTAATATAATATCTTACTTGTTTTTTTGTTCATCCTGACTTATTCCCTTAGAGTCAACGTAGAATTTTGAGCAAGGTGTGTCAATATCAAATGCTGTGAGCCGTTCATAGTTTTCCTCAACTTTATTCCAAAAGTATTTTACTTTCTGGTATTCAAAGTAAATCATTTGATGAGCCACCTGAAAAAGATGAAGAGAAAAAAAAATATTAAGAGATATATACTCAGAAAATTTGGGTAAAAATATTTGTATGTTACTGGCAATAAACAACATACCAATCAGCTGCTCTCCTCACCACATCATTTGGTGGATACAGTCTGTATTCATTAATATTAACATTATTACTATTATCAACATTATCATCATTATCACCATCAATATAATTACCATAAATGCTTGAATAAGCGCCGCTCTCGAATAAGTGATGCTCTCGATTAAGCGCTGCACCAAACATGATTTTTTTTGTTAAGCGCTGTATGTAATATTACCCTGTGTGTAATGAAACAGGGTTTTAAATTCAATGTATGCAGTGTTAAAATGAATAAATAACACAATGAAGACACAAGCATTTCTTTATAAACGTTTGTTTTCCCTTTTAAAAAGCATGCCATGATGATAGGACCTACTGTACAATAGGCCTATTAAACTGAACCTGAAATAGTTAACATGGGAACAGGCATGGAAAGCACCACCCAAATATATTTTTATAAGCGTCGCTCTAGAATAAGCGCAGCACTGAAGCCTCCAAAAATGTTATAAGTACTGCCGCACTTATTTGGGCATTTACGGTACATCAGTGCAGAAACATACTCGCACATCAATGCCATAAAAATCTTTTTCAAATGCGAAAATTATGCAACAAAGGCTGTTTCCAATTAGGCATGAATAATAATAAAATCAATAATCATTTCTTCTAATCTGCTGCTCATTATCCTGTCACACTTTTTTATACCTTGTTTTTAACTTATTTTTTTAAAGATCGTCAGAGGAGGGCGAGAAAAAATATCCAAATGGAGGAGAAAATAAAAATAAACTTTTATTGGTGAATGTAAACAGTGTAGGAATGGTTTAATGCTTTAAATTTATATAATTAGGAAGAAATATACATATATCTTATTCTTGGAGATTTCAAGGCAGTGTAATAAAAATAAAGAAAAACTTTTACTTTCTGAAATTTCCACTTTTTGTGGTCGTGGGTGCACTAATCGGCCAAAAATGAAATTTGAAATTAATCATTATTGGCGGGCGGCCAAAATTTAAAAATCATCATTATTGGCGGGCGGCGGGTTTTCGCTAAAAAAGGTATAAAATTCATATTTTTTGCTAATTATGTGTAACAAAATTAAGCATTGATAGCAATCACAACACTGATGACTGTTCTAACCTTTTGCTCAGGTAATTCATTAATGAGCAGATCAGTATCCTGTTCACTAATGTCTTCAGCTGAGAATGAGGCCCTATCACCTCCAGAGCCAACATGTACTTTTTTGCAACTTCCATGTCTGAAATCACCATAATGAAGAACATAGGCAAATAATGTATGTGCAAACTGAATAAGAGTAAAAGTCACAATTATACAGGTTTTAACCCCACAAGGCTTCCATAAATAAATGTGATCAGGAAACCTTTTTTGTCTAAACTGAGATAGTTTCTAGTTGTTAGGCTGGTTTGCCTACTCTTTTTTGGGGAGTTTCTATATTCTATAATTAGTAAATACTCCTCAAGAGTACCTTAATTTTTCTCAATTTTGTTGGCAGTTTTAAATATTCTGTTAAGTTATAAATGGAGATGAAAATATATGTTATTGTTACCTTTCATGTTGAATGTATGACTCAAGACTTTGTTTGAGTGAAATCACCTTCACTTCAGCAGGAAAAACCTGTTGAAAATTATCCTAAAAACAAAAATAATGTATAAAACAATTACTTTTAATTAAAGATAGTGAACACACTACAAAATTTAATATCACAGGAATAAGAAGTTTTAATTATTTATCATTTACTTCTTCAAATTACTTATAAAATATGCTGTTGTTTATAAAAATAATTCAATTTATTGTTTACTTGCATGCATGTAAATAAGAGCAAACAATCAGAACCTATCTTCTTTTATAATTGCATTGTACAGAAATAATAGATTAGCAAGAGATTGCAAAATAATAATTTTTAAAATAAAGTTTCAACAAAAAATTGTGAAGCTTACATTAAGTAGCACCACTTGTGCGTCTTTGAGCGGACATGGAGAACACGTAAACTTTACGCGCCATACTTCTTTCCAGTAGAAGACCAGTTGTAGCACCCCCAGGGACACAATACTGAGTAATACGGAAATCAATTGTTTCCACGGAACACGATGATAGCCTGTACATTCCTGCAAGATTCAAAAGAACAGTTGGAAAAAAAGAGATGCATTGAAGTAGGTGTTTGCCAATTGCAAGGTCATCGTTCACTGAAAATTGACAAAAACCATCTTTATTTGGGTGAATGTATTTGATAAGGCTCTTCACTTAATCACCAGGCTACAGAGAGCTACTCTGTGTGAGCTCCAAATCTTTTTTTTTTCTTTCCTTTTAGGCACTACGGTCAAGGATATGTCAAACAGGAGTGAACTTCATCACTCTTCAAAGTGGCAATCCCATTACAATACAAACATACACTCAAGATGCTCTAGGCCTAGTAGGCTAGATACATAGACTAAGTCTCATTATGAGGTTTATGGGGTGGTGCTTTGGTCATAAGAAAAAATCCTGTTACTGTGTCATGAATTGATCCCAGGACCATAGGACTGGAAAGCAAGCAATGAACTCTCATCCACAAGGTAAGTTATTCATCTACATTGTAAATTGCTTGAATCAATACATACCAGTTGCTCTTCGGATCCAAAATTCAAAGTCGTTCTATCTCGTTCCAACATCGCGTGTTTCACAAATCACAACAAAATGCTTGTTACGTAGTAGGCTAGGCCATAAATAAACTGTGCTATCTGAAAATATAAATGTTACAGTAAATATAAATAAATTATAAATTAGGCACACGTCTAGGCAACCTGCCTAGTCCATACATACTTTTAGGCATCAAATAGCTAGGCTCATGCCTTGGTCACATGATCTGGAAACAAGACACCATTTGATCCTCCTCCAGCCACGCGCTTGCCGGGTCTTCATCTAAACCTAGGCCTAGCTTAGTTAGGGCCTAGCACCTAAACTTAAATACAGTTTATTGAAAGTTAGGCTTCTAAGTGTTTAATTTGCCTGATTGGTGGTTCGTCATAAAAATCCAGCTTTTCCAATTTCATGTTATCGTTTCATAAGTCTTGATGGGAAATTATATTGCAAACTATATCACCCGATCAGAAACTGAAAGTCTGAAACCACGCGCAGAGATTATCCTCGTCATGGGTCACTGATTACAGTGCGGACACCGTACACACAGATTGTGCGAATTCGCACACGTGCGACACATTTGACTGGTTACCACAAAATTTTGAAAGTAGGCCTACAAGCCGTATTATATTTATTAAAATATCTTTATTCAAGAACTTTTATTAGTCCATATATAAAATATACCTAAATTTGTTTTGCATGGTAGATAAAATGACATTAAAAAGAAAAAAGGCATGGAGTAGGTCTAATAAGGTTTCTGGAAGAAACGGCAAAAAATCAAAACGGCAATAAACCAAAACGGCAATGATAAGTACAAAAACGGCAATAGACCAAAACGGCAATAATGTCAACTACCAAAACGGCAATAGGCATAGACCAAAACGGGAGGAGCAATCAATGCCAAGACTGAACCGCCACCTGTTTTTTTTTTAATTACATATCCATGACGAATTATTTCGTTATTTTAAAGTCTTATTTATTATTATTATTTATTATTATTATTATTATTATTATTATTATTATTATTATTATTATTATTATTATTATTATTATTATTATTATTATTATTATTTTTCTTTCCTGTTTTTTACTTTCATGACATATAGCCTCATATTATTTGTATTTTAAGGTTTTAATATATAAATGTCCAATGATTTTATATTGTATATATTATATTGTGTTCCCCCAATCTTTCTTACCATTGAATTTGTATGTTGTATTGTTATTATTGGTATCATTATTATTATTATTATTATTATTATTATTATTATTATTATTATTATTATTATTATTATTATTTATATTATTTAAGTGGGTTTTTTTTCTTTCGCACTTTTTTACTATTATGACATAAATTGTTTAGCCTCATTTTGTCTGTATTTTAAAGTTTTAACTATTTAAATGTTTACTGGCCAGATGAATGAAAATACTCAATCGATGTGCCACCAAATCGTAACCAGCCTTCACCATGCCCTCACGATGTCACCAGGGACGCAACTGCCAAAAAACTATTTTTGGCAGCGAAGGGACGCTACCAATAAACAATCAACTACCGGGTTTCTGGGTTGATTTGCAAGGTACTACATGGCAACAATATTTTTTACTTAGGGGTTAATTGGTAAAAATCGCACACAAATCATACGACGTCACTGACAAAGCCGGGGACGGCAACTCGATTTTGAGATTAATTTTCCAAATAAAGTTATACTAAATAACTTCTAATGACGAACTATTGTCTTCAGTTGTCTTTGTTGGTCATTCAACTGTCATTTTATCTATTTTCTTCGGTGATATTACCATTCTCTATAATCTATAAAACACCCACATAACAACGTCACGTTAGATCGATCGGTGGGGACGCCGTGATGACGCCGGTAGGGTCAATTTTCCTCGGAAGGTACCAAGATGATAAACAGTTTCATTGGACTCAATTCTTATGTTAACCACATGCTTACCTAAGTTTATACTGACACCTGTTTCAAATGAAATAACTGTCAACTTTTGTTTGTATCAATGTTTTAATAAGTACATACAACTATGTCACAAATACGTGTGCAAAAAAGCACAGGGACACCACGATGTCACCGGGGACGCAACTGCCAAAAAACTATTTTTGGCAGCGAAGGGACGCTACCAATAAACAATCAACAAACTACCGGGTTTCTATTTTGAGTTGATTTGCAAGGTACTACATTGCAACAATATTTTTTACTTAGGGGTTAATTGGTAAAAATTGCACACAAATCATACGACTAACAACGCAGAGGACGGCAACTCGATATTGAGATTAATTTTCCAAATAAAGTTATACTAAATAACTTCTAATGACGAACTATTGTCTTCAGTTGTCTTTGTTGGTCATTTAACTGTCATTTTATCTATTTTTTCGGTGATATTACCATTCTCAATAATCTATAAAACATCCACATAACAACGTCACGTTAGATCGATCAGTGGGGACGCCGTGGTGACGCCGGTAGGGTTAATTTTCGTCGGAAGGTATCAAGATGATAAACAGTTTCATTTGACTAAATTCTTGCTTATGTTAACCACATGCTTACCTAAGATTTTACTGACACTGGTTTCAAATTAAATAACTGACAACTTTGGTTTGTATCATATCTGTGTTGACTTCGTCGTCGAACGATGGCAGCAAACCAAAAACAAAATACATCATACAATACATTTTACATACAATACATTGTTATGGCATGTGTAATTTACTGGACGAGTTCTCATTGATAATTATAAGACAACGTCGTAAATACAAGTGCATATACTATTTTCTTCGTTTTTTAATTTTTATTATATTTTTTCCTCTGCAATTTTAGGCGATTATATAACCGCAATCATTTATGTACAGTATACATTTTCATAACAATAACTATAATGATTAGTCTACGCCCTCGGCTTATCTCATAGGCCTAGTAGTCTAGTAGTATTTTATTTAGCCATTTTGCCAATTACCATACAGTTTGTCATTTTGGAAGCGTTGCCGTTTTGGTTTATTGCCGTTTTGATTTATTGCCGTTTTGGTCTTGCCGTTTTGTTGACTAATTGCCGTTTTAGTCCATTGCCGTTCGGTCTAAAAGCGTTGCCGTTTTGGTTTTTTTGCCGTTTTGGTCATTGCCGTTTTGACCTGTTCCCCTATAACAAATAGTAAAATGGTCAGAAGTGTCGGGTATAGGTAAAAAATAATGCTTTAATTTTTTTAAACTTGTGTTGTTGGATGAAAGATCAGCTCGTACCAGAAATACGAAGAGGGTTTCCCAAAACGAGAATTTACTGATCAGTTAATTTATAAATACAAAAAATGTTGTTAATTATATGTTATTTTGTAAATTATGTGTTTTTATAACGTATTATGCATGCAGCAATTAATTAGGCCTTACTATTAATTCACATAATAACAACTTATCCGATCTAACCATGGAGGAATTAGTTTAGACTAATGCTCAACTTAACTTCCTCCACGATCTAACATGCATGTGTTTATTTAGGCCTACGTTGAGGAAAGCCTTATGTTATAATGGCCTAGATACCCTGAGAAAAGCGTAGTATTGGTCATTTTGGGGTTTGTCACTGATATCTCTTAAGTTCAGACATACCAATTTTTTGATATTTAAAAAAAACAAAAACCAAGCTATGTTTATGCTATTGATGCTAGGTCTATATTTGATAGTTCCTACTCTTATATTATTTTCAATGTACTGTATGGTTAGCTATGCTTTATATACAGAAATATGCAAGTTAGTATGTTGCTACACTGATATAGCAGCTATATTTGATATTTGATATTCATGTTTTATGGAGTTTATTTATATATGCTGTATATCAGGTGTATTAAAATATACAAATAATTACTGTATGTTGCTATGCTGATATAGCATATACATTTGATAGTTTTTATCAACTGTATTAAAATATACAGATTACTCCAGCTACACTGATATATCAGCTATATTTGATAGTTGATATTTTGGTATTATGAAGATGCTTTATATCTGCTAGTGTATAAAAATATGTAAGTTAGTCTGTAGCTACACTGATATAGCAGCTATATTTGATAGTTGATACTTGTATATTTTGAAGATGATTTGTATCGGCTATATATCACACTTTAAAAAACTATACATATATATATATATATATATATATATATATATATATATATATATATCAGATATATATTAGTTTCAAAATAGCTGCTATAAAGCTGCAAATATCATTGATTGTAGCAATGTAATGATATACCTCTGCTTTTTCTGATATTATGTTGATATGACCAATACTACGCCTGTATGGATACCCTTAGGCCCCTTTCAAGCCTATATAATCTCCAAAATAGAAGAGTCATTGTTTTCTACAACAACTGAGAAGAATTACCCAGTTGAACAGTAAAAAATTGATAATATCAATGAAATTAGAATAATAAAATCAACCATTATGCAGCACCTGTGTACGCCAATAACACATCTACGAAGCCATTATTATTATTAGATTTAATGTTAAAGAAAGTGGAGACAAAAAACTATAAATACATTAAAAACTAGGTCTGGGTGTTTATTGTCGATGATATTTCCATCTACATCGATTTATTCGCAGCCATAATGTGCACAATATTATGATCACGTTTTCTCTTGCACAGAAATCATAAAGAGAATTTTTTCACGTTTGCAGTTTTATGATCCACTCATCTACGTCGCAAAACGAAATTAAATACAGATTTCTTTTAAGGCAACAAGTCAAGATCATGAAGAGCCAAGGCTATATCTTGCAGTCAAAAAGCACGTTCCAAGCGTTTTTCCAGGAACAGCAATGCTTTGAATTTAAAATGTGGCGCTCTCCAGAGAACGGCGCGTATATCGCGAGAGTGGCGCTTAAAATTGTATGTTGTAGGGCTTTTGTGCCATGCATGCGACGTTTTCTACGTTTAGCCTATGGTATTTGTAAACATATTTCTTTTCGTTTCATTATTTTTGTTACGAAGCGGGGTTTTTTTTGTAGGTCTTCTAATTACATGACCATACAAGGCACATGCGATATATGAATAAATATCAGTTTAAAATGAAGAAGAATTATATTACCAGATCGTTGAATTATGATAGCCTATATTTATTAGGCGACTAGAAAAAAACAACTCATATACATGCTTGTGCTATCGAACTACATAATGATATTATAGCACGGTTTTTTTTGGACAATCATAAACATCATTGAATATTATTTTTGTATTCTGAATAAAGAAGTAAAAAATAAAATACAATTTATTCTAAATAATATGACATAATTTTGTATGATTAAAAGTATGGTATACAAATTATCAATATATATGCCTAATAAGAGGCTTAATACTAATGATGATATTAATATTAATGATGATGATAATAATAATAATAATAATAATAATAATAGTAATAATAATAATAATAATAATAATAATAATAATAATAATAATAATAATAATAATAATAATAATAATAATAATGATACAGTAGAACCCCCAAAAGTGTC